CGTATTTAATGTTCCATCACCCTGTTTTGTCGTGCTTGTAAGTTAGGAGCTATTTATAACCTGAGCAGTTACACAGCACTTTCAGAACATTCTCAGATGCTGGAGAGACAACGTGATGTAGTGGTTAGAGTGTCAGACTAGGTCCTGGGAGACCAGGGTTCGAATCTCCAGTGAGCGATGAAGCTTTCCTGGGTGACCTTGGGCCAGTCATCACCTCTTAGTCCTAACCTACTTTGCAGGGTTGTTGTGAGGATAAAATGGAGGACGGAAGAAATCATGGGCTGCAGAGGATTGGAATGGATGACCTTTTGGGTCCCTTCCTTCTCTGATTTAATGAATGCTTCCATGAGTCCCTTGGCTGAAAGGTGGAATATAAATGAAGTCAGTGTACTTGCCAAATCCTCACATTTTAGAATCATAGAACTGTAAGTTGGAAGGGACCATGACGAGTGAAATATACTCTGAGTCGAGAGTGGATTTCATGCTCTTTATTCAGCTCATAGTGGTGAGGAGGAATGGAAGTTCCCCCAGAATGTCTGCTTTATAAACATTATTTACACAATGGGCTGCACGCGATTGCCTTATTCCGGGATTGACCTGTAGGCCAATCTGGTTGCGGATTCACTTCCACCTGGAGCTGGATTGGGTGGCTCCTGCAGACCAATCAGACTGCTGCATTCTGGGTCCTATTGTTCTAGGACCAATCAGACTGCTGCATTCTGAATCTTATTGTTCTAGGACCAATCAGACTGCTGCATTCTGGACACTATTGTTCTAGGAATAATCACACTGCTGCATTCTGAATCCTATTGTTCTAGGACCAATCACACTGCTGCCTTTTGGATCCTATTCAACTCAGTACATAACAACGAGGGTCATTTATTCCAACCCCCTGCAAAGCAGGAATCTTTTGCTTGACGTTGGGCTCAAACCCACAACCCTGAGATGAGATCAAGGGTCTCATGCTCTACCAACTGAACTATCCGGTAAACTCAGAAAGCTGGGATGTGTGTGGAGGAGAGCAACCAGGATGATAAAAGGTCTGGAATTGGAAACCAAGCCTTATGACAGGCATCCCCAACCTTTGGCCCTCCAGGTGTTTTGGACTACAATTCCCATCATCCCTGACCACTGGTCCTGTTAGCTAAGGATCATAGGAGTTGTAGGCCATAAGGAGGTTGGGTGTGCCTGCCTTATGAGGAATGGTTGAAGGAACTGGGTATGTTTAGCCTGGAAAAGAAGAGATTGAGAGGAGATAGGAGAGCCAAATATCTCAAAGGCTGCTGCATGGAGCAAGCTTGCTTTCCCTTGCTCTGGAAGGTAGGACTCGAACCAGTGGCTTCAAGTTACAAGAAAGGAGATAACTTTCTGACTATAGGAGCTGTTCTGACAGTGGAATGGACATCCTGAGAAGGCAATGGACTCTCCTTCCTTGGAGGTTTTTAAGCAGAGGTTGGGCAGCCATCTGTCATGGCCGCTTTAGCTGAGATCCCTGCATTGCCGGGACTTGGACTGGATGACCCTCGGGGTCCCTTCCAACTCTACAGTTCTGTGATTCTAAATGAATGAATAAACTAGCTCAGTCACATTTACAAGAAAGCTGAGAAAATAACTGTAGGGTTGGGAGGGACTGAGAAATCTCAGGAGCATGACTTAGGCCATCCAGCAAGTTCCTGGAAGAAGTGAAACCTGAACTCATGTCTTCCTAGTCTGCTCAACCGCTACACCATGCTGACTCATTCAGTTCTTGGCTTTGAAAAGATTTTAGCTTCAAGCCTTTATCAAACAAGAAAATAGACGTTGAAACATAAACAGAAAGCGGAGGCGCATGGGAAATCGTTTCTCTCTCACACACACAGGGGGTGGAGTGGAACCAGTAAAACAATTGCTACAGGTGATTCTATTTGCAAAATTGTTGAATTTCCCTGAAGTTCTGCATACTCAAGCTCCGATCCATTGACTCACAATACTCCAAAGAGTTGGAAGGGACCAGCAAGGGGTATCTAGTCCAACCCCAATGAAGGAATCGCTGCTAAAGAACCCCAGACAGATGGTCGCCCAGCCTCTGTTTAAAAATCTCCAAGGAAGGAGAGTCCACCATCTTCTAACGGAGCCAGCTGCAATGTCTGACAGCCCTTGCCATTGGAAGGTTCTTCCTTATATAGTTGGAATCTCCTTCCTTGTCATATGAATCCATTGGAACAACTTTCTGCCATCCTCCATGTGTCAGTCCCGGGCCCTAAGGAAGTCAGATTGTCCTCCACCAGGGCCAGGGCCTTCTCAGTGATGGCTCCGACCTGGTGGAATGCTCTGTCCCATGAGACCCTGCAGGATTTAACTTCCTTCCGCAGGGCCTGTAAGACAGAGCTATTCCGCCTGGCTTTCAATTTGAACTTTTATTCCCCTTCCTTTCCTCCCTCTCCCCTTTTTATGAAGATTACCTGCTCTGGGATCCCACAGCTAATTCTCCCCTGGTCTCCTCACTGGCCCACATAGGACTAATTCAGCCAGCTAGCCCTGGTGATCATCTAATGTTTATTGGATGGATTTTCCTCCTAAATTGATTTTTTAATTCTGAATTTATTGTTATTCACATTTTATACCACCTTCTTGAAGACTTCTGCTGCACTCAGAAGCTTGCCACGTTTTGTTGACTTTCTGGCGAGCCCTAATGAAGGTTTTACTTTTTGAGATTCCCCTCCCCAGCCCTGCAAACCAGCTCAGCTACTCTTGCTTTTTAAGAAAAAAATGCTATAATTATCCCTATTCAGTGCTACCATTTGCGCAATGGATCAGAACAATAGGGTCTTTTTTTATGTATAAAAGAAATCACACTACCTGTGCTAATTGGCTTTCCAATGCCAGGATGTCTGCGTAACCAACAACTCATGTTTTGTGTATTGCCCCTGTTGATTACGCAACTAACTCTATCTCTTATCTGCTTTTCATTCCCTGCCTGCTCCCAATGCCCTCTTCCCAAAGCGAATATATCTGAAACTCAGGAGAACACTTCAAGCATCAGTCCAGGAAAGCTTATGCTGTGATAAAACACGTGAGTCTTTAAGGTGACACAGAAGTCTGTGTTGATATCCCCGGAGAGGGAGGCAGGTGAAGACACGCACCTGTGATTTCAGCCAAGTAAATCCCTGGGCCAGTCGCTGCGTCTCAGGCTAGCCTCCCTCACAGGGTTGTTGTGAGAAGCAGGAGAACAACGTAAAGTGCCCGACAATCCTGTAAAGCGACTGGCCTGAGGTCACCCAATGAACTTCATGTTCAAGTGGGAATTCGAACCCCAGTCTCTCCAGGGTCCTAGTCCGGCACTCTAACCACTAGGCAGCACTGACTCGCTCACACCCTACCTATTCCTTCTGTGCTGCCTGTCTGGATACTTCAGCTAGAGGGACATGCCCCTGGGTGGCCAAGGAATGTGCTGTTTATGCTCCTGAAAGTCAAGGAAATTGGCCCTCGACATTCCTGGGTCCTCTTTAGGACCGCAAAACGGGTGTGGCGAAAGAGCAAGGAGATGCATCAGCACGGCTGGGTTTCATTCCCAGCAGCTGGAAAGAGGGTTGTGGCCTCTAGGGGTTAGAGCAAGCTAGGCGGAGCAGGAATGCCGGGCGCTCAGTCCCCGAGGGCTTGGAGGAAGAACAAAGCTGGAATGATGGGAGAGGGAGAGGCAGATTGGCAGGTGCATAACTGTTCCTCGTAATGTCATAACCAGACATAATTTCTTATTTCTAAAGCACCAGCTGTTTGGCTGCTTTTAATAGTGCGTTCCCAACGCAGGAGAGGGAGCCCAAGGGCACCTGTGGAATCCTGCTGGGTGCCCACTTTTTCAAAGTCACCCTTTGCTCCTAGTTTAGGCGCTGTCTCCTGCTCAGTGCCTTGAGGCAGGGAACCAGGCAGAGGGCCTTCTCGGTAGTGGCACCCGCCCTGTGGAACGCCCTCCCACCAGATGTCAAAGAGAACAACAACTACCAGACTTTTAGAAGACATCTGAAGGCAGCCCTGTTTAGGGAAGCTTTTAATGTTTGATGCATTGCTGTATTTTAATATTTTGTTGGAAGCCGCCCAGAGTGGCTGGGGAAACCCAGCCAGATGGACGGGGTATAAATAATAAATTATTATTATTATTTCCTGAGCAATGTCTCAATCTCTCCCTTTTTCGGCAGTCACTGCAGATGAGAAACCTACACCGCCTGAAATGTTGCGTTTGAGGTTTAAACAATTACCCTTTTAAAATTTCCTGTATGACATTGCCCCCTTTTGTATTGGGAGAAAAAAATCTGGCACTTTGAGCCAATGCCCTCTGAGCATGTGCAAAGCACTCCGCACCCCAATTGTGTGTGTGTGTTTAAAGGAACTAAAGGCAAACTAACTCAGTTCACGTGCTAAGTACGTATCTTCTTCTGGTGCGGATCTTTTTCCCTCTCCCTTAACACAACAAACAACAGTTTTGTGATGCTTTAAAGGCACTCTGGTTGTGGCATAAGATTTTGTGGGCTCACGAAAGCTGATACTGTACAGTGGTACCTCCGGTTAAGAACTTAATTCGTTCCGGAGGTCCGTTCTTAACCTGAAACTGTTCTTAACCTGAGGCCTCCTGCCGCCGCCGCGTGATTTCTGTTCTCATCCTGAAGCAAAGCTCTTAACCTGAGGTACTATTTCTGGGTTAGCGGAGTCTGTAACATGAAGCATCTGTAACCTGAAGCGTCTGTAACCCGAGGAACCACTGTAATGAATTTGTCAGTCCTTAAGGTGCCACAAAACTCTGTTTTCATTATGTGCTGTGGAATACTAATCCTCCGGAAAGCTTTTAATGTTTACAGAAAGCCCAACAAAAACACACATCCACACACAAACCAAACGCTCACACACCCCCAAAAAGAAAAGAAAAAAATCACACACTTTAGATGTCCCTCTGTCCTGGAACCCAGCCAGGAGCCTTTCAAACTGTTTGACACACACACAAAAATGACTCATTCTGGGCTGAAAGGGGATCTCATGAGCACCGGTTGTGAAAAAACCCACCGAACGCCTCTCTCCCTCCTTCCTCATCCTCACCCTTGTGGCCTGGATGAGGTAACAGCGGAGGATCCCTTCCACCCCAAAGGGGGACGTTGGGTGGGTGAGCTCATGAGGACGGTTGGGCAAGAAGCTGGAGGCTGAAGCTGGCTCATTTCCTCCCTGGCTGGAGCCTTGGCTGCTCGCCTCTTTTCCTGGTGACCCAGGAGCTCGGATTAGGCAGGGTCTGCCGCCTCTGCCTCTCTGCTTGCCAAGACCTGCCCCTCTATCAAGGTGAGGGATCTGCGTAGCTGGACAGGTTCTGTGGAATGGTTAACCTGAGGCAATCTCACCCTGAGCCAATCATCGCAAGCGGCAGAGCGGGGCAGCCGAGAGTCTACAGCACCTGGGCACCTGCCCCAAAGCCTGTCTTGGAGAAGCAGCCAGCCAGCAGCAGGCACACCTGCCAGTCTCCAGAAGACAGCCTTGCTAACCCAGCCATGACACCTCTCCCCTGGACAGCCTCCGTTGTCGCCGTCGTCCTCCTGCTCTGTCTCCCAGGGATGGCAATGCCAGGGCCCGGCCCGGAGGATGCCAGCCTAGACCCGGCCCTGCTGGAGCTGCGAACTCTCCTGGCGTCGGGCGAAGAAGGCGCTCTGCCCCAGGGCACCCTGGAGTCCCTGTTAAATATTGCGGTGGGTCGTGTGCAGTGCCCGGCAGTGCCGTGTGAAAAGGTAAAGAGGATGGCGGCAGGTGTGCAGTCTTCTCCCACTCACCTGGGTCAAACTCCAGCCGGGGTTCAAAGGTCCGAAGGATGAGGCAGGCAGCCTGGACGGGATGCCGCCGGCCTCACTCGCTCGCTTTAGGCGCAGAATAGGAGGAGGGGTGGGTTGGGGAAAGGAGGCAACCAGGGAGAAATCCCGTTCCTATTAGCCGTCTGGGAAATCCCTTTCTCTCTCCTGCTATCTATCTCTGGGAAACCACAGGAGCTTTGGCTGGTCTTTGTGGGGTGCTGGGTTCAATCTTACGGTTGTGATTGATTGATTGATTGATTGATTGATTGATTGCATTGATATCCCACCTTTTATCCCAGAAGCTCAAAACGGTGCTTAGGGCTCCCTTCCCCTTCTCAACAGCCCTGCGAGGTAGCCAGGGCCAGACTTAGGTTTGATGATGCCCTAAGCTCTTGAAGGTAACGGGGCCCTTTATATGTCCAGCTGTCCTTTGCCAACAACAAACTGTTGCTGTTTTTTGTGTTGAATATATGCTATATGGTAATTTATGGACCTGATAGGTATCTAAAGGCATTTGCACATCACAAATAGGAGCCTACACAACACAAAACACTGTTGCTGTATGTAGGTTTTATTTTTATTTTATTTTTATCTTATATTTTGGAAATGTACGTCCAGTTTTGTTTTTTCTTTAAATTTTTTGGGGCCCCCGAGAGAGTGGGGCCCTAAGCTATAGCTTGTTTAGCTTATATGTAAATCCGGCACTGGAGGTAGGTTAGGCTGAGAGGCAGCGACTGGCCTCCAAGGCCACCGTAATGAGCTCCCTGGCTCAGTGGGGATTCGAACCCCAGTCTCTCCCACATTTTAACCCCCTGCACCGCACTGGGACACTTCCCAGTTGCAAGTTTCTCCAGTTGTCTTTCCCTTCTGCGTCTGAACTGTTTCGGGGGGGGGGGGGGCGTGCATTTTGCCAGGAATGGCGAGACATGTAAAATGCCTGTGCGCTGACATTTAAGGCGCCGCAGCAACACCTAGCATGTTATTTCACCTGCTGGCAAGACTCACTTTGAACCACTTAATAACAGGTTGCAGGACAATGAAGGTTTCCCCCCCCCATCTGTATCATGGATTTAGAGAGCCAAAGAAAACTTTCAGCTTTAAAACCGGTGGAAACCAGGCTGATGTGAAGACACGGCTGCCAGCAGATCCACACCATATATTAAAGCGCACATGACTTGCCCCCCTCCAAGAATCCTGGAAACTATAGTTTTCTGCTACAGTTCCCAACACCCCAGTTCTCAGGGTACTTGGGGGGGGAGCCATTCCCTTGAAATGTGTGCCCTTTTAGGGGGGAAATGATGTGAATCTGCCCAGAGCACGTAGGAGATGAGGGCTGGCGATGATCCTTGGTGTGGCAGGAAGGGCATAGAATCCTAGAGCTGGATGGGTCCACCAGAGGCCATCTAGTCCAACCCCCTGCAATGAGGTCATTTGACGCGGGGCCCATTCTTTCCTGCAAACTGTTTGCAGGTATGGAGTTGCCCTCCTACAGCCCTGAGGAAGGAGAAGGAATCCCTTCAACTCTTCGCTGTCTGCTCCATGCAATGCAAAGCCATAGAACATGTCTTAAAAAGAGGGTAAAGGTGTAGTTATCTTCAACGTCTGTTTTCGTAAGGTTATGTGTAAAGTGAGGGTGGGGGCATGAATCCATGGGGCTCTCTAATAAGAGCATAATTGCAGGGTGGTGCTCAGTCCAGATGAATTGGGACCAGATTCTGATTCTGGAGGAAGCTGGTCTAACAGAACAGCTGACAGCCCAAGCACAGGCATGCTCTTAAATGAATGAAAGGGTTTTTTTTCCAAAAAGGAGAAGAAAGAAATTGCAAACTGTATCAGCTGAAGGAGCAGCAGGTACTCCTGAACTCGGATCAAGAGGTCGTAGAATTTTAGACTTAGAAGGGACCACAAGGGTCATCTAGTCCAACCCTCTGGAATGCAGGAAAACAGTTGGGCAGGTGAGAAAATTTCAGCAAAGGATGCAGCACCCAGCTGCCCGTGCCCAGACGCCTCCCCTCGGCAGCTGGTCAACTGAAGGACGTGCCTCACATTCCTGGAACAGTTTGCTAGGCAATATTTGTAAGAATTCTCAATGGTCCTCCAGCCTCACCTGGAATCCAGTCAGTTATTAACAGACTTGCAGGCTGGCCCCATTCCTCCCAATAGATTAGGAAATTGGTTGTCTGCTAGAGTTGCAGGCAGGGGACTCTTCTAGTCCGGAGATGCCATCAGCGGTTGAACCCTCAGGCCTCCTGCCCCTTAGTCACAACCCTTCCTGGGTGAATCCCCATTCTCCTGCCCTGGCACCGGATCATAGGTTTAGACAAAAAACAAGGTATTTTTAAAAAAACAGATGTTTTGTTATTCGTGCTCACCCATTTTGCGCAGTGTCTCTGGGGAAAGCACCGAGCAAAGAACGAAATGCGAAAATGTTAAGAGCTCGCTGGGGCAAGAGGAACTGCCTTGGTGATGTCGGTGTCTCCTGGCTGGACCAAAGAATCTAGCCCAAAGTATCCTCATCATCATGGAATTGCAGAGTTGCACAGCTGGAAGGGACTCCTGGGCATCATCTAGTCCAGCCCCGCTGTGATGCAGGAATTGCAGTTAGAGAATCCATTTCCAGTCTCTGCTGGAAAACCTCCAAGGAAAGATACAGCTCACTGGCTTAATCGAACACCTTCTTTTATACTAAAATGCATTGGGTAACGATTGCAGTCGTAATCTCTTGGTTAACAGGTTCTCGGCTGCATCTACGGTTGCCAAAGTTTTCACCTCCACTGCTTCTGTGGGCTTTAAGAGTTTCACGTCAGGCTGAAGCGCTGCAGAGGAAACACTGCACTGCATTTTCCCGCGCTTAATTTCCCCGCCAGTTAAAACATCATCTGCTACATTTCTGTCTGTACCGCAGCTCTTAGCTCAAGGAACAAGAGCCCTGCCAGAATAACAGTTGGCAACCTCCGCTGGGGCAAGGTTCGGCTGCAAAGCTAATGGTCACGTCCAGAGTTTGAAGAAGTGGCAGAGGCTACGTCACAGCCTGAATCAAAGTGGGGGGCCCTTCCCCAAGGGGTGTGGGCAGCGAAGAGTTAATAGCCAATATGCAGATGGCCTATAGAGGCTGGAGATTTCACAGGGTCAAAGGACTGTGCAGGATCCTTTTATTAGGACAGATAAAAGAAAGTCCTTCTTGATGTGGCACAGAGTTAAACTGTGGAACTCCCTGCCACAAGAGGCAGTGATGGCCACCAACTTGGATGGCTTTAAAAGAAGACTGGACAAATTCATGGAGGAGGAGAGGGCTATTGAGGACTACTACTAGGCTCTACTTGCACAGCTGGTGGCAGCAATGCTTGCAAATGCCAGTTGCTGGAAACTGCAGGAGCAGAGAGGGCTCTTGTGTTCGAATCCTGATTCTGGGTTTCCCACAGACATCTGGTTGGCCACTGTGAGTGTGATGGCCTGGGACTCGGGCTCGGACTTGGAGCCAGAAGAGTCTCAGTTCGCACTGGATCGGCAGCCGAACCGAGTGGGGCCTGATTCTGAAGAGCCCCAGTCTGCACAGGATCTCCTGCAACAAGCACCAGCTGGGCCGAGTCAGGGGCCTGAGCCTGCCCTGGCTCCAGATGCGGGGATGACCTCGTTGCCTCCAGCTGGGCCATCACTTCCAGCTGCTCCACTACCGGTTGGGTCAGGGGAGGCTGAGGCGGCCCCTGCGTCTAGTAACCCACCGACGTCTCCCGAGCTGCAGAGACTGAGGTCTGAGAGAAGGAGAGACCTGAGTACTCGCAGGAGGAGTGCTCCAGGGAGGTGAGTCAACAGGGGATCAGGACCAGCCGTAACCCCGACAGAGATAAAAGGCTGCTGGACCCCGCCCCAGGTTGTGGGAGCAACATTGCAGTTTGCCTGAACCTGCCTGTGATCCTGTGCCTGACCTAGCCCGGTTTCCTGCCTTGGCCCTGTCAGACTGACTCCTCGTGGAACCCTTGGATTCGGGACCAGACCTGGACCGCGGTTTTCGGGTTACTCCCGGGCCCAGCACAGTGAGCACAGTGGATGAGCTTTCACCTGATCCAGCAGCCGGGCTCTCCCTAGCTCCTTCCGTCTTCGAAGCTTTCACCCTGTGATGTGGTCAGTGCAAAGGACTTCTGTTTCTTTCTCTGTTGAAGCCACTTTGCTGCATCATGTTCAACCTGCAAAAAAGGCTTAGCGGTTATGTTCAACCTAAGACACCACCACAGCCAGCAGAGTGGAGAAGTTGAGCTTCACCTTTTTAGGCATGAACCAGCCTCCCTCCCGCCCAACCTGGCACCTTCCAGATGTTTAGCGCTACAACTCTCATCACCGACAGAACATGATGAAAGCAGTCGTCCAAAACATCTGAGAGGCTGTTCAGCTTCTTAGAGATTCTTGCAGAGGAACTGGGGTGGGATGAAGGGATGAAGCCTGACCTTAAAGGTAAAGGTCCTTAAAGACTCCTTAAAGGTAAAGGGACCCCTGACCATTAGGTCCAGTCACGGACGACTCTGGGGTTGCAGTGCTCATCTCATTTTATTGGCCGAGGGAGCCGGCGTACAGCTTCCAGGTCATGTGGCCAGCATGACTAAACTGCTTCTGGCGAACCAGAGCAGCGCACGGAAATGCCATTTACCTTCCCACCAGAGCGGTACCTACTCATCTACTTGCACTTTGACATGCTTTCGAACTGCTAGGTGGGCAGGAGAAGGGACTGAGCAACAGGAGCTCACCCCGTCGCGTGGATTCGAACCGCCGACCTTATGATCGGCAAGTCCTAGGCTCTTTGGTTTAACCCACAGCGCCACCCGCACCCCACTGGGAAGGTTAAGCCTAGAGAAAGTAGGGACTAGGAAAGCATGGATTTCCTCCAGCTTCTCTTCCCAGATATCTCTGGAACTTAAAGTAGACTTTGGGCCCAGCTACTATCCTGG